GTAGCTAGTTTGCTATTGCCTATTGTAAATTGAAATAGCCAATAGGAATCTAGCAATGCATTCCTATGGCCCAAAATTATTATTATTGTTTTTTTTAAGGCAGCAGAACCGCCCGGCCAATAGAAAACAGTTGGGGCGGAGCTAGCTGTCACTGCTCCGCACAATCGTTTTCTATTTATTTTTTTCGTACTTTTTTAACTATTTTTCTGTTCTGCTCGGGAACCACGGAGAGACCGCGCAGAACAGCCGAGCCCAGTGCGGCGTTCGGCTATTCACTCGCCGCTGCACGGCATCTATGAGAACCGACCGAACACCGAACATGCTGAGCATGTTCGGCTGACCCGAAGCCACCCGGTGTACAGCTCAAATCAGCCGTACCAGCCTGCAGTGAATAGCCGAACAGCGTTGGGTTCAGGTCGGTCGGTCACTTGGCTTAGTGAATAGACCCCGTAGAGTCCTTATAAGGACATAGGGATGGTATAAGGACCTTTAAAGGAGAACTATGAGGGGGGGAGGGGCTTTCCACTCACCTCATAGTTCTAGCCGACCTGTGACAATGAGACTGTCACAGGTCGGCTCAGTAGATCGGGAGGTGAGGGAACACATACCGGCGTTCGCTCACCTCTCGATCCTGTCACGGCTCTCTGCCGTGACAGGGGAGGGGCTGGATCCCCCCCTCCCCAGCGCTGACTGGCGTAACGGACGGGGGAGGGGGTGGGTACAGCTGGGTCTGCCTCTAGATAGGCGGAGCCAGCTGTCACTCACGCAGCTGGGCGGATCCCGGCATCTAAGTCGGGATCCGCTCCGGCTGCGGCGTCTCAGTATACCACGAGCTGTAGCTCCCTATATACTGAGCCTCGGGTGATGGGAGGACGCTAGTTTGTGTCCCCGTTACCCTGAGGAGAACTATGGGGGAAAGACCTGACCTCGTACTTCTCCTTTAAGAAGAAGCTTTCAGCAACATTCGGGGCTCCCATGATGCAGTGCGGTATAACGATGGTGATTGGACGTATAGACGCATCCACAACAAGCGACGCACATTAGTTTGGGTTTCAGTCATCGCCGCGCCTGATACTGAGGCCGTAATTACATTTGCATTGCAAAGTCTTATTGCCTGCCAGGCCTGACCTTCATTCCGCCACCTATAGAACGTTCCGGAGCCTCGGACCTGATTGCGGAGTGTTAATCAGCTCTCAGGAAGAGCAAAGCCGAATGCTGCCTCCATCATACATGGATCCGGCCTCCTCCATGCACCTTGTTATCCGGCCTCCATCATGCACCTTGTTATCCGGCCTCCATCATACATGGATCCGGCCTCCTCCATGCACCTTGTTATCCGGCCTCCATCATGCACCTTGTTATCCGGCCTCCATCATACACGGATCCGGCCTCCTCCATGCACCTTGTTATCCGGCCTCCTCCATGCACCTTGTTATCCGGCCTCCTCCATGCACCTTGTTATCCGGCCTCCTCCATGCACCTTGTTATCCGGCCTCCTCCATGCACCTTGTTATCCGGCCTCCACCATGCACCTTGTTATCCGGCCTCTATCATACACCTTGTTATCCGGCCTCCATCATACACCTTGTTATCCGGCCTCTATCATACACCTTGTTATCCGGCCTCCATTATACACCTTGTTATCTATAGGGAGTACGGGGGTCATGAGCAGGTAACGCATGGAGTCCGGTGGTTGTCAGTAGTAAGTAACAGAGTTCAGGGGTCAGTAGTAGGTGATGCAGAGTCCAGAGGTCAGTAGTAAGTAATGCAGAGTTCAGGGGTCAGTAGTAAGTTACACAGAGTTCAGGGGTCAGTAGTAGGTTACACAGGGTTCAGGGGTCAGTAGTAAGTAATACAGAGTTCAGGGGTCAGTAGTAGGTTACACAGAGTTCAGGGGTCAGTAGTAAGTAATGCAGGGTTCAGGGGTCAGTAGTAAGTAATGCAGAGTTCAGGGGTCAGTAGTAAGTTACACAGAGTTCAGGGGTCAGCAGTAAGTTACACAGAGTTCAGGGGTCAGTAGTAGGTTACACAGAGTTCAGGGGTCAGTATTAAGTAATGCAGAGTTCAGGGGTCAGTAGTAAGTAACGCAGAGTTCAGGGGTCAGTAGTAAGTGACGCAGGGTCCTAGAGGCAGCCATCTCTGTACAACACTGGCTGTATTTGACTTCTCTGCCGCCGGGGACAGACCTCTGATAACGGGGACTCATGGTGACCTCAGGATACATAGACTTCTCAGGAAATGGTGTCACCTCAATGTGTAAGAACCAGAAGTGGGATTAGAGGGAAGGACACGGGGAGATCGCCTCTCACATTATATTTATTTATAGAGTCCAGTAGAACCGTCCGGGTTCATGGTGTGAAGGGACTAAAGACTCAAAAAGACCTCCAACCCAATCAGAGCAGAGCACAGCAAATACTTCCTGGAGCAGAAGGTGATCACATGACTCATCCAATCACCTATCCCCCCAAAAATAAGAGGATTATTCCTCATTTCAGGGCAGTGGGCGGAGCTATGCAAATCATTCCTTTACACCCCATCAGCCAGATGCACATCCACGGATGGCTTCTATGGAGGAGGGCTCGGGAGCATTCGGTTCTTTAGTCCGGCGCCCTCATTGGACTCTTTATAAGTTCTGTGTGGACCTCATCGGGCTTTCTTGCCGTATCCAATATACTCCGGGAACAAAAGCGAGCACATGCAGGCATGCAGCGGGTGGCAGAGACACAGACCGCTGCATGCCTTTTGATGTCCCCCTTACCTCCGCTGCTGTCCCGGCCTCCGGTCCCCTGGTCCGTCCGCTGCTGTACCATCGCTAGTAATGACGCAGAACGCAAGTTTCATGTTTTTGATACGTTTCGGGAATGCGCCTCAAAGCGCACATTTTTGCACGCGTCTGTCACGGATTCGCGGGGCACTCGGGTGTGATTGGGGGCTAAGAGTGGAGATTTTAGGGTCAGGAGATCAAACTAAAATCTCGCCATCAGCGACGCAGACAAATAATAATTAATACAAAAGATCTTAAATAAATAAACAGATAAATAATATAAATATATATACACAGTGGTAAGTTCCGCAAAACTCCGCTTCGGGTGACGAACACGACCGCAGCCATCTTCCCCCGCTCCCACACATGGGCGTGGCTTCCTCTAGTCCATATCGCTGGCTGATCGCAGTTTGATTCGGTTCGTGAACCGCGGTACCACTGTATATGTGTATCAATAAATACATAATTTATTTATTTAAGATCTTTTTATGATTTATGAGACAATTGTATTTATTTGTTTATTTCTTTAAAGGAGAACTACGAGGTGATTCATTTTCACTCCTCCTCATAGTCCGAGCCGACCTGTGACAATGAAACTCACACGTCGCCTCAATAGATCGGGAAGTGAATTAAAGAAATAAACAAATAAATAAATCATGAAGAAATATCTTAAATAAATAGACAAATAAATTGGTTCATAAACAAATAAATTAATAATACAAAAAGATCTTAAATAAATAAACAAATAAATAACTTTAATAAATAACTTACTAACTAATAGAATAAATAAATAATTGGGATCTTTACTGATCCCTATTCTATGCAAAAAAAAAAAAGTTACGGCTTTACATACACTGCAAAGTGAAATTTTTGTTCTGGATTAGAGCGCAATACATTTTTAAAAATTTTTTTATGGCGCAGGAAAAAGCACAATGTTCTTTATATGCTTTTTATTAGAAATAAAACACATTCATTTGTGCTCAGAAAACTGTACAAAAAAACTGACAAACACAGATCGGGGGAAAAAAAACAAAAAAATAAAAGGGATAATTGGGCAAAAAAAGGAAAAGAAAAATAATAAAAAAATAACAGTTATTAAACAAACACATAGTTATTACATAACATTGCTATTGTTTTTTTTTGGGAGGGATTTTGATGATCCGAGTGTTAAAAAAATTAAAACACAGTAAAAAGATATTTTATATGGTAAAATTCATTATGTGTAATTATAATAATTACAATATAATACAACACAGCAAACTCGATGCCTTTGTGCTTTCTCTTCATATATATATATAATCTAAAAAATCTGAAAATTACATCACAGTTTTTTAAGTAATCTTTTTTTTTTTTGTCTCCTTTATTTTACTATTTTGGATTTTTGTTTTGAAATCATTTAAACATTAATAGATTTATTTAATATAAATGTAATGACAAGATAAAATGTAATTTTATTTTATTATTATTATTTTTTTTCCAAAAATAAAAATAACACTGGAGCCAAAAAAAACAATCTCATCGTAACCCCCCCAAAAAAAACTCATCTGCTGGACCCTGGCAGAGGGTGAAGATCAACAGTCAAAGACTTCCATTCGACGCCTAATCTTCACCGGATCTAAGGTGTGAAGCCTCGCTCTGCTGGGTGGGATTATTATTATTATTTGGTTCTATCTACTCAGACTAGTCAAAGGAATGATGACCGGGACCCGGTTTTTAGGGGCCAGCTCTAGCGGGCTTTGGTGGTTGAAAAAAACCTTAACAGACTTCAAGGAGAAAAATCAAGCAAGGTATGACATCATTGAA